AGCTTTAACAGCAGTCGACTGACATACATATACCCATTTGATACATATGTGATTGACATAAACCCGGATATAAAAAAAAGAAAGGCTTGCACTGCATCCTTCCGTTTTTAGCATCAGCACTCTTTATTCACCTCAGGTCGGGTTTGCGAGGTGGCCTCTCACTGCAGGAGGGGCGTGAAACAAAAGGAAAAGATAAATAACTCACTCGTTCTTCATTGACATTTCAAATGACACCCACCACTTTGGAGCTGGAGACCAGGCATGCAGAGGCTATAGTGCGTTTCAAATACTCACCGCAAATCATCTAAATGGCTCAACAGCACATTTATAACTGTGACAGCAGTATCAAAAATAAGAAGACCTCCAATCATCACACACAACAAAGTACAGATTTAAACAAAATACTTTCACTGTAATGGGAAAGTGAAAACAGGCATTTTCAATCAAGAACAGCGGTACTTTTTTTTTCTAAGACACTTCCGCATTGGCAAAATGGATCGGTTACAAGAGTCTGAAAGATGTTTTTAACCCTCTGATGTTTCAGCGAGTACAACTAAGAGGCTGGTGGTACATGTGGTTTTGAGTGAGATAGCTCTTGGTTGAGATTACATCACATGTAGAGACTATGCAAAAAAAGAAAAGCTCCATAACTATAGCTCCCTGCATCTAGCTATGTTTGTTACTGTATACAAAGCAGGTGATTTGAGAGATAGCTTGAAACCTTGAGATTATTTATATCTTAACAAAACAGCTCATCAGCATGATTTACTTTCTGAAGCTGTGGCATTGCTTTCATTCCTCTTCAGAAAGAAAGCAATGAGAAACTAGTGACATTTTCTTCCTGATTAAGATATAACAGCAAAGATAACTAATATCATTTGAATTGTAATATTGATTGGCAGGCAGAAAGTCCATGGCATGGACTAAAACCTTCTCCATCCAATATGGCTGCACAGTGATCAGAGCAATCACCAAGTTCCTGATGATAAATTAGGGCTCACGCTGCAACAACATGACAAGAAACTTGTCCACTAACAAACTGCTTTCTTTTAAAAATGCTGCTCTGCTCCACATCTAACTCACTCTGAGCGTAACCTTGGCCTGCGATGGCAGCAAGCGAGGGGGAAAATTATTACAGGCGGGAGGAAAATGAATGCGGCACTCGTGTTGTAAATCAAATCAGCCAAGGACGGCCGGCCGGCCTACAGAGCCCTCATCAGACCTGCGCTGTTTGAACATCGCACATGACCCAACATGTCGGACAGCAAAGATTTACAGATTTCTGTGGAGCTCAGCTGCACTGTCCCTACTAAAACCTGCTTCTTCTTCCTTTTTTTTTTTTTTAAGCACAGGTGATTTCTGCCATCAGTCTTTGTGAAAAGCAGCTCCTGATGTTTTCTGTTCATATTCTAAGATAAATGACTGTCTGCTGCGTGACTGGACAGAAAAATGTCAACACCTTTTTAAGTGCATTAGACTGTGGTTCATTGTTTCACACACACTTGTATATTTGGTGACTTTTTTATCATTCTTTCTTAGTTATATTTTTATCCATCAGGTCTGTCAATCAGTAGCTGCTGACCAGCCATCCCTGGTCCACATCAACTGCTGGCCAGGCCACTGTTGTGGTAGTCCTCGATATCATCCAGGTTTTTGTTTGCTACTTGTATGGGCTCTAGTTCTCCAGCATTGGTGTGAAATCTCACAAGGGGGATGCACACAAATGCCAATTAAACTATTTCAAATTTAGGAAACAAGGAAAGAACTTTAACTGGTGTGTGTAATCAATGCAATCAGTGGTATAAATGATTGCTTGAGTAAAGAAATGGTGTATGGTGTAGTGTAGAAAATCAAATAAAAGACCAAACAACATCCAAAAGGTGGCTGAGGGAGGAGAACCACACTGAGGGCTTATAGCACTGCTAGACTGGGCCCAGGTGGTGCCAGTGTGACTGATTGGAAGCAAACCACACCACATCTCCAGTGTCTACAGATGAGACCTGCCACACAACAGGCTGAAAGGAAAGTTTAAGGAACCAATCAAAACATGAAACATAAGTCGCTAAAGTTGCTGGGAATCCAGTTTAGAAAACTGAGCACACCTGGTCACCTCCAAGGTCTGGGCTGTGTGGACCACTTTGTGTTCATGGGGTCGGAGGTAGAGTTTTAGCTCTAATCATCAAATCTAAGACGAGTGAATGGTGAAAAATGGAAAGGAGCTATGCAGGAAGCTGTGCAAAGCTGCACAAAGAGATGACCTGGAAGGGGACATCCCCCAAGTTAATCTCAGGTTTTTTCACTTCACTTTTTTATGAGCAAAGTTTCTGTACTTTTGCATCACAACTAATGCTAAAAGGAAATTGTGCTTTCAAATGCAGTTTTCAAACAGAACACTATAAATATTTGGACAGAGCGCGCGCG